ACCGTTTGAGAAAACCCACTGCCTTATATCATTTAAGTTTAAAAAATGATATTTATGACAACTGTGAACTTATTCCATAAGTCCACATAAAGAGAATATTGTCACGCTGACATTATGTTCCTTTTTAGTTCTGTTCATTAAAACTTTTGCTGATAATTTACTCACCCCCATGTCATCCAAGATGTCCATGTCTTTCTTTCTTCAGTCGAAAAGAAATTAAGGATTTTGATGAAAACATTCCAGGATTTTTCTCCATATAATGGACTTCAATGGGAACCAAACGGTTCAAGGTCCAAAAGACAGTTTCAGTGCAAACTGTTCAAAGTGCTTTAAACGACACCAGACGATGAATAAGGGTCTTATCAAGTGAAACGATCGCTCATTTAATAAATAAATAACAAAGTTTAAGTTTTATAATCTCAAATGCTCGCCTTGCTCTGTTCTGTGATGCCAACACTATCTCACGACCAATTCGTACGAATTTGACGCATGATTAAAAAGTGTCTAATTCGTACTAATTCGTACGACCTCACTCGTACTAATTCGTACGATTTGTCTAAACCCACGTGATGGTTAGGTTTAGGGGCGGGGTCAGGGGTAGGTCATTCGTACGAATTCATACGAATTGGTCAATTCGTAAAATATGTACGATTTAGCAAAATCGTATTAATTCGTACGAGTGAGGTCGTATGAATTGTTACGAATTAGCCACTTTTTAATCATTCGTCGAATTCATACGACTTGGTCGTGAGATCGGGTTGGTGATGCGCGTTCGTGACTCTACTGTTTGAACTCGTTTAAAAAAATGAACAGAGCAACGCGAGCATTTGTGCTTATAAAACTTAAACTTTGTTATTTTTTTTTAATGAGCGACCGTTTAGTTTCGTTTAAAGCTCTTTGAACAGTTTGCAGTTTGCACTGAAACTGTCTTTTGGACCTTGAACTGTTTGGGTCCCATTGAAGTCCATTATATGGAGAAAATCCTGGAATGTTTTCATCAAAAACCTTAATTTCTTTTCGACTGAAGAAAGAAAGACGTGGACATCTTGGATGTCATGGGGGTGAGTAAATTATTTTTTTTAAAGTGAACTACTCCTTTAACTCTACAGTTTGTATAAATCTTTAGATTAACTCAGATCTCTTAGGGTTAACTGCTAGCTAGCAATAGCACAAGCACACCTGCATGTACTAAACTAATTAGCGAAGAGATTCACTGTCTTGTTTGAAAAAATATTCCTTATGAAGCATAAATGACTGTAATTTCTTTCTTTGCACTATAATGGGTACTTTTCTGAGATGAGGCAGACTCAATTTCGTATGTTGCCGACAATTAATTTATTTCAAATAATTAACTCCTTAATTAACTTCAGTGTACAGTAGCTACTTTTATGTTATTTTAAGGCTTGGCTACATGAACTACACTTTAGAGCATGTGAAGTACAAATTGATTGTAACTTGGCCAACTACAGTTTCAAAGTCTCTTCCCAGCACATTAAACTCATCGTGCTGGACCGAATTCAAGTTTTTGTGGGTTTTCTCTGTTCTACAGCAGGAATTAGCAAGAATCATTACTAAATAATTTAGGATTGATTTTCCTATACGCTGATGGCTCAAGGTTTCCCTCCTCTCACGCTCAGTACATTATGCAAAACATAGGCCTGAGTTAGATGTTATACATAATGTTTATACTTGGACATTAACCTATGAATAGCTTACTTAGAGCTGTCTCTGCAGATTAAAGTAGGACTGAAAAACTTTTCAACACTGAACACATTTGTCCATTGGCAGAGAAATCTGAATCCATGGGGCAAAGAGGAGTTTTTATGAGGCCTTAATCAATGTTTATGTTCTCAGATGGCGTGTACAAATTAAAACCTCCATTATTATAATTCTTCACACTGTAATGAAGGTGGGCAAAGCCTTTATTGAGCTGGATCCTGATATCAGGGCTCTTGGCGGGCATGTAACTTAAAGCCCAGAGGAGGGATCTGGGACGGGTGCATAACAAGAGTCCATCCCATCGAATTCACAATACCTTGAGCTCAAATTAAAGCTTTTGGTGTGTAAAATATGGGCAGCGGGGCAAAAAGAACTACAAATGAACTCCATGCCATTGATCCAGAGAGCAGGGAAGCAGTATAAAATCCTTTTGAAATTGTAATGAAGGTGCTTCACAGGAGCATTGTCCAGTCAAAGTCCTAACAAGAGCGCAGATCACATGATGCAGAACGCAAACGATTCACAATGAACCCACAGACATAGCGCTATATGCTCCCGCCTCAAACGCATCTGTTAATGGAGGTGAAACGCACTCTCTCTTACTGACACAATATGCCTTGTGTCTAAAATCACAAGCTGAGGTAAAACAGCAAATCTTTTCAACCAAACCACTTTGACATCAAATATTTGAGATTTCAGTTGATTTTTGCATGCTCATCGGTTAATTGCGTATGGAAGCTCGTTTCCGGCACAGAATAAAACATTTTAATCTTGAAAAAGTATTAATCTTGCAATTATGACTTCTGAATTGCGTGATATAAAGTCGCAATTGCGAGAAATAAACTCGAAATTCAGAGTTTTTTCTCTCGCAATTTTATAACACGCAATTGCAAGTTTATATCTAGAAATTCTTACTTTTATAACACACAACTGCGACTTTATATCACAATTCTGACTTTATAACACACAACTGCCACTTTATATCACAATTCTGACTTTATAACACACAACTGCGAATTTATATCACAATTATGACTTTATAACACACAACTGCGACTTTATATCACAATTATGACTTTATAACACACAACTGCAACTTTATATCACAATTCTGACTGTATATCACGCAATTCTGAGATAAAAAGTCCGAATTGCAAGATATAAACACACATTTGTGAGAAAGAAAGTAAGAATAGAGAGATAAAAAGTCAACAAGCTTCCATAATGGTCACATAACAAATTCAGGTACAAAATAAAAATATAAAATATCTGATCTTTATCTGTAAGTGTTTTATTTTGATTGTTTTTATTTTATAGTTCGGGCTGCATGATTTGCTCAAAAAATGATATTGTGATTATTTCGTCATACTTTGCGAAATACTGAAGCATCCTGGCAAACAAGAACAAAGAGACCACAATAATAAATATATTGTAATAATTCAACTGCACTTTAAAAAAATAAATGAATATTTTATCATTAGCGGTTCATTCATTTGTGCTACGTAAATATTCTTTCAAAACCAAAGATTATTATTTCATTTTAATCATGAACGGACAAAAATTATCTTCTTACAATATACCATTAAAAATGTAAGAAACATGTTTCATATCGCCTTAGAGACGCTGAATGAAACATGTTACGGATTGTCTAAATACACTAAGTGCACACAGCTCACTTTGTTGGAGATTTACACTAACTCTGCCCACCAATTATCTGATTAAACCAGACAACATTACAAAAGAAACCTGTCAGGTAACAGGATCATTAACGGTTGCTGTTAGTTTTTGACCCGAGTTTAAACCCCGGTGTTTTGTTGGTGTGCGCACTTCTGTTTCCCTGGTTTGTTTTGTTTTCTTATTATTAGTTAAACCTTCAGCATTTGATTCTGCTCTCCCTCGTCTCCGAGTTTCACCCATCATTACCCTCCCATGAGGTTCACTTCGCTTTTAATTGTGTTTAACTAACAACGTTATTAAACAATTAGATCTAATGCCATTCTGTAGTAGTACTGTAGTCTTGCATGGCACACTTGCTGACAAAATGCTCTTATAACTATGACGGAATTGACCTTTTCGAATGAGGCTGATGCTGTAAATTGGCCATAGTGAGGTCTCTGTTTATTAATGTTGGGCAATGATGATGTGGACTTTATTTGATACAACAGTTCCCTGTCTCTTTCCATCTGTGCAGCCACACCGACCTGACGTGGCTCTTGTACAAAAACACATCTATTGGTTTCTTGGTAACACTTTACAATAAGGGTGCACTAATAAGCATTAATTCATGCTTAACTAATGCACAGATAATACTGAATTAATGTGTAAGTAATGATTATCTAAGCTATTCATTAATGATTACCACATTAGGAACTAATTAAGAGTCTGTAAGGTTAATGTATTAGTTCGTACATGAATTGTTTTTAATTAAATATTTAATTGTGGATTAATTCCATAATAACTCATTTTTTTTAACTAATAGTGTTAATTAATATGTTAATTACCAGAATGAGCCAAAGCCTTGCATTTCAACTTCCAGATAATATGACAGGTACACTAATATGCGTTAATACATGATTACTTACTTAATTGTTAGTGCAAATTCATGTGAAAATTACTACAATTACTAAATGACTGGTTAATAATGATGTGCCTCAACAAGTAAAGTCATAACATAATGATACCTTTGCAAATCATTAGCTAATGATTAATTAAAGCAGACAACTGGAAGTTGAAGTGCATAGCTTTGACTGATTGTGGTAATTAACACATTAATTTACGCTATTAGTTAATAAAATATGTTAATAAGGAACTAATACACAATGACACATTGAATTAATAGCAATTCATGTATTACTTAATCTATTAATCATATAGACTCTTTATTAGTTGCTGAAGCAGTAATCGTTAATTAATGGTTTAGTTCTTCATTAGTTCTACATTAACTCATGATTATCTGTGTATTAGTTAAGCATGAATTAATGCATATTAGTGCACCCTTATTGTAAAGTGTTACCGGTTTCTTTCCCTTGCAGTTCATTCAGGTCCTCACATGCCTCCATGACAGTCGCTATGACTTTATCTTGCGTGGAATGAATTCATAAACTAGGAAGTTGCTTTCTATCTGCACCGCAGCACTTTAATGAGACCGAGTGTTTTTAATTGAAGGTCACAGAGTAAATTGCAGGCATCTGCTTAAAACACATTTCTGCCTGTCCTTGAGGAGAGAAAACAATGAATGCAACACTACACACACAAGACACACTGTGGACCGACAGACTCACCCTGCAGTTCCCCAGTTCTTCAGCAGATAAGATGATAATACCGCAGTTCTTTCCCGGTATGCCCCTGAAATCGACAAAACAATGATGACAAACCATTAGATGTTGATTACACGACAGCAGTAATGAAATAAAACACACATGAAAAACACAATAAGGAAGTCGAGGTCGATGGGTTCAGGTTCAGGTGTGGGATCTCCCAGAGTTAGTGAATGAACTTTAAGGCGAGACACTACAGGTAGATAGGGTAATTTTTTTTAACTAGCAGATATCACCATGAAACTTTCCCAGTTGATTACATACATCAAGATGAGAAAAAAAAATATATTACAAGTTTTCTGTAAATTAATGTTTAAATATGCAAATGAGGCATTATCTAATTAAATATGCACTAATTTGGATGCATTTTAAAAAACGAAATCTGCAGTATTGGATAAAGCCAGGTTCAAAATTGTTTTTTCATTGTGTTCACATATTAGATGAGAAAAAAAAATACAGAGGGATTTATGGATATCTACTTTTGTTATCCTGTAAATCAGAGTATACTGCCAATTGCCTTAAAAAATGATTTTCGCCATGTTTTTTTGGAATAAAATGTTATATAAATCAGGCTAGGAATAATATATATTTTCAAATCCCATGTAAATGTCTTCATAATATAACTAGGTACAAGACTGGAAAGTTTGGTGTATATAGGTGCTACTGAAGAAATATCATTTTGAGAAAATAGCTTTAAAGATTTAGTACACTGTAAAAAATGATTTTTTGGTTAAGTAAATACTAGTGAAAAAACCCAATGTAATTTATTTGAAAAAGTTAGTTTAGGCAAGAATTTAAAAAACTAAGTAAATTCCATATCAGTACTTATTTCAAGCGAGTATAAATGAAAGTGTAATATCAACTCAATAAAATTAAGTAAAAATTACTCAACTTTTCTGATACTGGGGTTCCCATCATGCACTGGACCTTGAATAATTAATGAGGTTCATTTTTCACTGGTTTCCAGCTGTATTTACACTGTTTTACCATTGATTTTTGTTTTCAGTATTAGTAAATTGCCATTTTGTGACATTTCGAGTAAATGTTTTGCTTAAAACGACACATTCAAACACAAAAACGATCCATCAAATGTTACCACCATTGTGTATTGTCTACCAATTATTGAGGTGTTTGCATTCACATAAGGCTTAAAGTCTGACATGATGTATATATAAATTACTTAGATGATCTAAGTAAAGAACATACTATAAATGACTAATAAAATTTATATAAAATTTATAAAATTTAACAATTTTAATAATAAAATTGTTTTAGTGAAGTGTAATACAAAGGCAAAGGAAATCGGTATTAATCAACCTTTTACAAGCCGAGTTAAAATTACTTATTTTTTGTAAAGTTTACTTAATTCCACATTCCAAGTAAATTTAACTTAAAGATTTCTAATTAAAGCTACTGATAAATATGTTTAGGTTTTTACTTGGCAAATCTTTGTAAATTTACTAGCATTTTCTGAGTGAGATCGTTTAGCAAGGTTTTTTCAAGTAAATCCTACTCCAAATTTTTTACAGTGTATCAGCCAATGAGATTGCACATTTAGAGTTAAATCCCCCCTTTTACTTTCACGATTGGCTGCTGATAAAAAGGAAATGACCATATTTGGATCCGACAGCGTTGTACAGGAGAAAGAGAGCTTTCTAACTGTGTGTGTGATGATGACAGGGTGCAGATCGCGATCGCTGAGCAGCACGACAACTTTTGAAGAATTTATGAGAAATCTACAAACGCAAACAGACAAAGTGTAGAAAAATAAAGACCTAAACGTGTATTTCTGACTTTTTTTCACCACAAGTCTGAAAAAAGACATGTTATTGAAGAAATCTCAAAATTGACCAAAAAACGATGTTTTTGTCTGCCGTGTCTCACCGTAAGATGGTTTTATGCAATTAAACTTGATCTTCATTTAAAAAAGAAAAAATTTGCAATCGGAATCGGCCAATTTGCTTGTAAAATAAATTGAAAAATCATGATCAGTGTATCCCCAATAACGGCGTTACCATTAATAATACAGGACTGCCCTGTTAAGAACATTTTTACCACCATTCTGAATGGGTAGCTCTGAGATAACCGCTCGTCATGTGATATTTATAGGCACACATGTAAAATTTATAGTCTGTGAATAAATCTGGCTCCGAGGAGCTGAACGCGTTTGGCAACTGCAGCTTTCAGAAGGCGGTTGTGGATTTGGGCTTTAGGAGATCCCTCACATTCAGATTCTGGACACTTTTCTCAGCCGCTCATTAATACAGAAATCACAAACACAGTCCCTGAAATGCATAACAGCTCCATTAGCACTGATGTTGTCCATATGGCTAAGTTCTCCTTCAGGATTCTTCATTTGCAATCGAGACAGATGCAGGCAGTCTGTGTTAGCGCTTTAGCCATGTGTTCACAACTGAAAACCGTTTTGCTAGACATGTTTTCCTCTAGCTGAAAACCATAATGGCTCCACATGAGGACTGTCAGTAAACATCCTGCTGTCCACGATAACATCTCCATTAAACAAAGTTAGTTTGTCATCTGAACAAAAACAAAACAACTGCTTTCTCAAAACACAATTGACCAGTTTTGTCTACAACAACATCACACCTGAATGAGGTTGGGCCAGTCAAATTTATTTCAACTTTCACACATCGTCACGATAAAAAGGCAATATGTGTGTATAATGGGTAAAATATCCCTGGGAAAACCTGTGGTTAACCATCCAGATACCCGATAGTTCACCCAAAAAATGAAAATTAGCCCATGAATTACTCACCCTGAAGCCATGCGAGGTGTCTTCTTTCAGATGAATACAATCGCAGTTATATTAAAGGGGTGATTTTCCTTGAGCTTTTGATATCTAAGAGGTCATCATATTATAAGAATATCCTGTAAGTTTCAGAACTGAAAATGTCCTTGTTAGTCCAATAAAAGCTTTTATTGACACCAGGCTCAGCAAACGACTCGTTTTTCAAAGTGGGGAACTATGACGTCAAAGAGGATAAAACCCCACCCCCGAAGAAGTTTAACACGGCCAGTTTAGCCCCGCCCACCGATTCGCGCATTACACGCATAGCTAAATAACATAGATGCCTACCTCGTGATGACAAACCGGATGGCGCTACCGAGCAATACAGAATATTGTGCAGCGCCTGGTTGTGGAAGAAGACAGTCGCTGCATCAGCTTCCTCTGGATTCCAATAGGACTGCATGGATAAACTTTATTTTTAATGACGTTCCAGCTGATGAGGTAAAACATCGTCGTCTGTTCGCTTCATTTCACCGAGGATTGTTTTATAAACAGGAGTAAAGAACGGTGCTGTGCCGTCTGTATTGGATCCGACAGGAATGGTTCAACACACGGACTCTAGGTCGAACATGTATGGGCGAATCATTCCGGTTGCCATTTTACAACATTGGACGTTTCCAAAACAATTTCCCCACGTACACCGACGGGTGAGTCGAAACTCATTATAATATGCAAAACTGTTCTCCACTCACAGCAGTGGGCGTTTACTTCCAAGTCTTCAGTGCGAGACGCCCATAAAAACAGAGCGTTTATCAGCTAAGCTCAAAACTAGGGTACAAAATAGCTTATTACTTATTCATTTTTGAATGCAAAAACCGAGCGAACGTCATAAGTTCACCTCAGACAACAATATAATAACATTTAAAAAGCCATTTCATGACCCCTTTAAATAATGTTCTGACTCTTCCCAGCTTTATAATGGGTGTATGACTTTTTGAAGTCCTTTAAAGCGCATCCATTCATGATTAAAGTGCTCGACACGACTCATGGGGGTTAATAAACTTGGAGTGAATCGATGCATTCATGTAAGAGGGACGTATGCATCGATATATGCCAAAAGAGTAACACTTGAACTTGGCAACGCCTCCGGGCAGCTATTTCGGACTAACAAGACCAGGCTCCTATCTAAATGAATGGGCAGAGAGTCAGAACTGCAGTTTCACTGGTCACCAGGACATAAAAACTGCATTTATAGAAAAAGCAATAAAATATGATAAAAATGGCTGAAAAAGTTTGATGAATTTGCCCCAAAATAAGGTTTAAAACGCCACAGGTTATACTTTTACTACGCATGCGCAAGGGTTCTCGTCTCCGCTGTCGCAGACATCAACGTCAGTGGAACAAGACGATAGGCTTAAATGTTTCCCGGCTTGACTGTTAAAAGCAGACGATTGGCTTTCCAGCGGGAGGGGCGGGGCATGTGCATACAACCACCATCTTTGGCGTTACGGGTTTTCCCCATATAGTTGTATTGAGGATTGAGGAAGTGGCATGTCTCTATATAAATTGTCTCTGTTTTGATGCACATTATAATGACGAACGTGGTTGCCAAGACCTGTCTGAACCGCGAGAGGAGTCATGCTGTCTTTACGTTGCGCGTCAAGTTTAAGTGTTATTCTTCCACCGTAAATCGATGCGTAGGCCGTCTGCCGGAAGTTAATTATTTTAGTATAATTTTTTTAACAAATTATATATAATATATAAATTATATAATAATTTAAATTATATGATAATTTAATAAATGTAAATTATATAATAATTTACATTTTTTAATATAACTGCGATTGTATTCGTATAAAAGAAGAATGTAATATACACCTAGGATGGCTCGAGAGTGAGTAAATCATGGGCTAATTTTCATTTTTGGGTGAACTATCCCTTTAACCACTGACTACTACCCAAGTATCATATTTCCACCATTTTTAGATTAACAAAGATAAACGATGTCTTCAGTTTTTGAAGAATACCCCAGGCTCCAACGTCTCAATGTGCATTTTTGAGATACTGAGACTTTTCCCAACAACTTCAATATCCTGCGATCAAGTGCACAAACCTCATCGTATCTGATCATCCTTTTAAACTGTGAGAGAATGCCATTTCATCTAGTCTGTTTGGACGGTGGTCCCACAGGTTCTTGCTCACACTCCAGCGTTTGCTAATTGGTTCATTACTCAGTCTTCACGTCCCCCTGGAACAGCAGGCTTCCTGGTTTATATCGC